AAAACTCCGCGCCGACGGGTCGATGGGCGTGGTGGTGATGCGCCTGTTGAATTGCTTGTCGCCGGGAATGTCGCTCGATATAGTCAAGGTGAGGTCGTTGGGTTGTGGATCGGTGGTCTTGTAATAGAACCAATTGATAACCGCTGGAGTGCAGTTTTTCATGTCCGCAGTCTGGTTGAAATTCAGGTCTGGGTTCGCAACGACCGAAACGACAGGGGGGATGCTCGCCGAGGCTGAGAGAATGAATAATAACTAAGTTCAAACTTCAGCATCGCAGATATCTGGCAGACGTACTTTTGGTTGCGCCCTGTGCTGTCAGGGAGGCAGACGCAGAATGACAACTGCCCGGCTTGATTTTGAACGCATCGGATAGGATGAGGAACGACGCTAAGTCAGATTTTGCTTCCAACTGGTACCCGCCGGGAGTCGCATTCACCGAAGGCCACGTATAACTACGTGCTAGCGGGTCCAGAGTCACAGGTGTAATGACCTGATCCAAGTCCGCGTCCCCTACAATGTCGCTCGTTATGATCAATATAAGATCCCCAGGCTGTGACGCGGTCTCCGACCCATAGAACCAACTGAATGTAGCGGGGGTGCAGTTCGTCAGGTCGGACATTGGGTTGAAATTGAAGCCGGGACTGGCAGCAGGGGTTTTTGCGCTGGATGAGGCTGATGATAGCTCAATGAGTCGGGTTCAAATTGTCATAGAGGTCACGACGCACTAGTTGCTCGGCGAGCATAACCATGTACACCTGGCACGGTAAAGAACCATGTGCAATAAGCAAAGACGATCCAGATTTCGCTGCCCCTCATGGCCGGTGAAGAGAAAGATGTAGGCCAGGCGCCTGGCTTGGGACACCCGCAGGGCAATAAATAAATTTAATCGCCGTTCATAATCACAACCCCGAGTAAACCAACTCCTTCGATCCGTCTCATTGGAGCATACGACGGCACCGGGGGTCTAAGCGCCAGACAATCGGTGACAGACGACCTTTCCTTCCTGAGTTTAATCAAGGGGAGACGAGGCGTTTTCAAGACAGAAATTGGTAGGATTTCAGGGGCGTATGATAAGGGAGATGGGGTCGAGTAAGCGGGGGGTAGCACATGAAGCCAGAACCAGCGGACACACCGTCAACAATGTGACCTGGTTGAAGAGCCTATCTGCGATGTCCTCCGTCGGCATCGCATCCCAAAGCTCAGTCAGAGCGTTCGGTGGTATGTTCCTGAGCGTCAAGATTCGAAGAACAAATCCTTATAGGCAAGCCAATAATTGGTGTGAAAGGCTCCAATCTCTATGATGAGAGGAAGGTAGCGCCGAATATACATGCAATATTGGTCGCGTGGAGTGGTATTTCGGGAGAAGAGGTATATGTAACGGACAAGTCCTCGTCCCGCATGCAAACTGAGCGCCACAACTCCTAACAAATCGATCACAGTACATCCATTCCACCGACCCGCCGTCATTGAGGAGGTAGGGCGGCGGCGGGAGGCTGACGAGGGATCCCGAATGACTCGGGAAGATCCACGCTCGAGGGCGAAGAGCCGGCCACACTGAGATGGATGAAGTGACGACAAGCTCGAGGGTGAAGAGCAGGCGGCGCTGAGATGGCGAGATTACGTCTGCTTCGGGCTGCGAGCAGGATGGAGCCCAAACGACCCCACCCGCTGGCGGCCCTCCCATGCTTGCCATTCAGCGTTGTATGAAGTGGTTCGGAGGAAGAGCGATCCATGGAGAGCCCGACGCAGAGTCGATGGCATGCGGGCGCGGCCACTGGGTACGGTGGGCGCCGGCGCAACGCGGGCGGGTGATATACTGCAATGCGTATGCGCGTGGAAAGGCGGTGCGACTGCTCGTCATTCTACGACTCGGTCCCCTGCTCGTACCAGATACCCTGCCTGTCCCCAGCCCACCCTCCTGGCGCGCGCGCCACAGACGAGGAAGGTCCCTCCTCATGCCCACAAATCTCAGCCTCTGCTACATCTCGCACTTGCTGCGGATGAGGTACCTCACAACAGGCGGGTGCTCATTCATCATGCCCACACCACCAGCAGGAGCTGGTGAGCTCAGCCGCAGTTGGAGCAGAGACCCAACCCTCTCCCTCCCTCCGCTTCGCCAGTGCCGACGTCGGCTCGACTATTCCTCTCAGCCCCCTTTCTCCTCGCCATCCAGCGATCTCCAGCCGCAATCCATCGCCACAGATTCGACACCATCCGGGTGACGAGGACGCGCGAGCGGGGTCGGTAGCGCCGCACTGCCTGGTGTATGATATACGCTGTATGGTATAAGGGAGGCGAGACAACGGCTCGCGTCGGTCCATCATCCTGGCTCCATCTCGAACGATTCCCCTGCCAATCAAGGCCCTCAAGTACGCCCCGACCCGCACCCTCGCGCATCACCACTTCGGCTACATCCTGTTCAGACCGTCCACGAAGAAAGAAAGGGACCGGCGCAGTAGAAGAAGAAATCGGACACCCTTGGGGCGAAGGGCTGGTCTAAACAGACTCGGGGGTGTGTGCCCTTGACGGGGTTTACAGCTTCCAGCTTGCAAAGCCGCGAGTAGGTGCTGATCGCTGACACGAGCGCGGGGCCTTCATCGAGCGTACATGGTGTGGAAGCGGGGGCGGAAGACGGGGAAGGCGGGGGCGCACACCCACCCAACCGGCGGCCGTGCGGGGTGTGGGTGAGGTGTAGGAAGCACGACGAAGCGCGGTCGCATCGTCCATCCGACTACGGCAAAATAAGATACGATGATCGCAATGGCGCGGCGGAGATCGCAGTGTCGCGGCCTGTACGATGAATCCGAGTGAGCGTGAGCAAGCCCCGAAGGATGGGGGAGAGGAAGCGCGTACCATAGTGCGACAGGAAATCAGATCGACCTTCTTTCTGCCAACGCATGTCGAGGAGGTTGTTCATGATGATCGAGATGGATCGCATGGAGCGAGTGGGAGCGCGTCGCAAGCGGCGACAGAAGGCGCGACGGACGCATATTACGACTTCCTTGCTCGTTCGCGGTACGGCCCTGGACCTGTATCTGTCCCATCCCCCTAGCGCGTTGACGGGGAGATGCGACCGGCGCCCGTATCCACCTCGTCTCCGTCTAAGTGCGCGAGTCGAAACCGCCTTCCCGCACGTATCCCACGGCGGCCACGTCCTTCTCCTCCGCTGCCCCAGCCCTTCGTTCTCCTACTGCTTCCGCTTCTGGGTTTCCGTGTCGCTCTTCGCTCGTAAAGGTGGCACGAGCGCGGCGCGTTCATCGCATCATTGGAGGAAGTAGAAGGGTTGGAGTGCGTCGGCCGCCGGGGGGGGCACATCCATCTGGCCCCGAGCAAAGGGAGGTGTGTGGGGGCAGGAATGGGTCCGCGGTAGGAGCTATGATTCCGATGAGAGCACGGACCGGCGTGGCAAGCTTGAATTGCGCAGGCGCATGCATCTAGCTCCCAGAAGGACAACGCGGGGGGTGTGGATGTCGCGGGCATTATCCGGTACAGGGCAAGCTGAGCAGCCTGAGCTGTGCGGGGCTAGGCTGACTACGACGACGATAGCAATGGCGCGGCGGAGATTGCGCTGCCGTGGGACGGCGCAATGGAGACTGTACGATGAAAACAAGAATGAGCAAGATACGAAGGCAAAGGAGAGGAAGTGCGTACCACAGTGTATTACACTAATGAATCGAGTCGGACTCCTGCGAGAATCGAGTCGGACTCCTGCGAAAACGCGTCCAGGATTGTCGGGATGTAGCGCGGGGTGATAAGGAGACGGTCGGAAGCACGAGAGAGAGCAGAGCATCGGTGGTGGTAGGCCGTGGCAGAAGACACGGGCGCGTCATGGTCTCCCCTCCTTGTGTCTACTGCCGTCGCTGGTCTAGGCGACGTTGGTGATTGCTCGAGGCGACTCCTGTGGCGACCTCACCGACAGGATAGTCCCAGGACAACTTCCGTGCGCGAGGTGTTCATCTCGAGAAGGTCCTATGTGCACCACTTTTTTGGTATCAGAAATTCAGAATAGCGATTATGGCTGTAAACACAGGACACTCACCATAACATCGGTACTTGGCCGCCTCTGTCTTGCTCGTGGCGCAATCTCTGCGCGCGACAAGAGAGACTTCGCCACCAAGAACATTGTCCTTGCTGGCAAGTACTCCTTCGTTCCAACTCTTGTTTCTTCGTCCCAGCTTGCAGCAGTCTTGAGTCAAGGGTGTTACAGTGTCGAGGAGGGAACCAGGATAATAACGCTCGTCGGGGAATGGATGTGGTCGCGGCGGAAAGGGAGAGATAAGCGCCCGCCGCCCATCAATGCATCAACACGGCTTGCTCTCAACCACAACCGTCGATTCTCCTCACCGTTCCACCACCGTTCGATGCGAATTCCTCTCTGCTTCGAGGGACCACGGAAGGGACTTCTTCCAATTTCCCGACTGTCTTGCTGTTGTTGCTCTGTACTTTAACCGGACCCTCGAATTTGACTCGGAGACGCACAGGACTCCCAACACGCTTGCAACACGCCCGAAATCGCAAGAAGACAAAAGGAATGCTCACAACAAGCCCTGCTATTCGGGCGTGGTGTACGGCACACGGCGGGTCTCTTTGAGTTTCTCGAGGTCTCGTAGCCTGCAGACCGGGGTTCGACTCCTCGCGTCCGAATGCAATGTCTACATTATCGTCATCTTTTTCCTTTTCTGTTCTGCTTGCTTCTCCCCCTTGATTCGCTTGGGATCGCGTGAATTGGCATCGAAGATTCAACCGAAATTTCGGTCTTCGTGCTTGCAGTGCGTTATGTAATTTCGTCGCTCCTACAAATTCAACGTCGTTAATCCAGCGGACAGATACAAGAGGGAATTCGGACATGGTACACAGCGTGTTTATCTGATCGTCTGCTCCTACTAAGTGTAACTCGCAGATCGGGGTTCGACTCCCTGTGTCCGAATGGTCTGGGCGTGGATAGTTCTTTTGTTTCTCCGCGCCTTTCGTTAATCCAGCGCACAGATACGATAGGGAAATCGGACATGGTGTATGGTACACAGCGCGTTCATTTACTGATGAACCCTAACGGTGTAACTCGCAGATCGGGGTTCGACTCCCTGTGTCCGAATGGGCCAGTGAGTATACAGATAGTTCTTTTGTTTCTCCGCGCCTTTGGGTCCCCTTGCCCTTGCCTCAGCTCCTGCCTCCGAGTCATCACGCCGTGAATTGGCACCGGAAGTTCAATCAGAATATGGTTCGTCGTTCGTCGCTCCTTCAAAATCAACTTGATTAAGTTGAACCTCACCAGGCACTAGAACTCGAACGTGGTGTGCGGTACACAGCGGGATGCTTTGGTACGGCCTTTGCTTGTAGCTCGCAGCTCGGGGTTCGACTCCCCGCGTTCGAATTATGACTGACCCAAGCAGTTTTTCTCTCCTTGCCCATTAGTGTAGATTTTTCTCCTTAAGCCTGCTTGAAATTGCGCGATTGAACTGGCACTGGAGGTTTAACCAAAATTTTGGTTCGCCTAAGTCCATACATACATAAATCAACCTTGTCAAGTCGAACCTAACCAGGCACTAGAACTCGAACGTGGTGTGCGGCACAGCGGGCTAAGGGTGTAGCGTTTAGCTCGCAAATCGGGGTTCGACTCCCTGCGTCCGACTTGCAGTTGTAATTTCCTGGATGGCTTTTGTCTTTGCTTCCTTTCGGGTCACATTTTTCCCCGCTCAGCTTGCCTCCGAGTCGGATCGCGCGGCAAATGAACCGGAACCGGTTCTTCAACCAAATTTTGGTTCGTCGTTGCTCGACGAATTCAACCTAGTTAATCTAACACACAAATAAAGGGGAATCGGGCGTGGTGTACACCGTACACTGCACTGTACGGCACCGTCCTCGAAGTGTGGCTAGAAGATCGGGGTTCGACTCCCTGAGTCCGAATCAGTGTGCGATATTGTTTTTGGGGTCGCCTTTTCCCTCCTTTGGAATCCCGCAACTTGAACTGGGGTACCCGAGCCGCAAGTTCAACCAAAATCTGCTTCGTCGCTCAAGCTCAAGATCAACGTGCCAGTGGTTAATTCAATGCACAGATATGGTACACAGCGGGATGCTTGTTGTCCGCGTCCGCCTCAGATGTAGCTCGCAGAGTGAGGCTCGACTCATTGATGTTGACTTTTTCCCTCAGGCTTGCTTGAAATTGTGCCCTTGTCAAAATTGGTTCGTCCAAGCTCGTCTGAAAACAAGATTATCAACCTGAACCTAATGCAACTACTGGAAGTTGGACGTGGTGTACGGTACACAGCGAACCTCATTAATAGACCCCCCGTAGGGACATAGCTCGCAGAACGGGGTTCGACTCCCCGCGTCCGAGTAACTGTAGGTGATGGATCCTGCTTTTTGGTTCGATTTTTCTGCAGATCTAATCGAAAGTTGGGCATTCCACACTCGTCCAAAACTTTACCAGCGTAAAATTGGTCGATCTATCGGAGTCAAGTCGGGGTTTCAAATGTCGAGAGCCGAACGGCAGCGGAGACTGAATGCCTGTGACTCAGGAGGAAATGTGACACTCCTGCAGATGACCACAACTCCCTGCACAAATTGCGGCTTCATCCCTGGGCAGCATACCCGGCCAGATACTCTCGCAGATGTTCACGATCTGCGCCGTCAGTTATCAAGTCTAGATGCCACGATCGCCGCGTTAACCACCGAGCGGCAAAACTTGCAGGCCAAATCCGACGCGGTCGTATACCCCATCCTCTCCCTCCCCACAGAAATCACGGCGGAGATATTCCTGCGCTTCTGTGACTCTGACGTCCCCCCGCAACCAGATCCCTCGCAGGGTCCCTTGTTGCTGGCCCAGATCTGCCACCAATGGCGCCAAGTTGCGATTTGTACCGCCGAGATATGGCGGTCTCTCCACCTTGCGGCTTCGCCTAAATCAGTCGAGCTCCTCACGCTATGGCTGGATCGATCCGGAAATCTTCCCCTGGACCTCACGCTGCAGCACTGGGAAACTGGCACGGCTGAGCCGCTAGTTCAGGCGAGCATTTTGCACGCCCACCATTGGCAGGACATCAAATTTGTAATGCCGGCGAACGCCTATTCAACTTTGAACCTCGAAAATGCTTCCCTACCCATGCTTCGCAGCATCTCCCTTGACCTTATCCAACCCAGCCCCGAGCTCGAATGCGTAGTGAGGCTCGTCAATGCGCCCTCGCTCCGTGAAGCCCTCTTCCGCGAATTCCCGCCAGCCAACGTCGATCTTGTCTGGTCGCAGCTCACGTCGCTCCGATTACCAAATCATACCGCTCTCGCAGCGTGCATCTCGACACTGCGCGGATGCCCACAACTGGTCAAGCTCTCGGTTTCCACCGTCGGCGACGTGCCCCTGCACACCAACCCTGTCGTCCTCCCTTCCCTGGAATCCCTCGAGTGCAACCTGCAGGAAACGGCGTCCCTCCTGGAGCACCTTACGTCCCCTCACCTCCATTCGCTCGTTTTCCTGCGCATCGTCGAGCCCGAGAATGCCCCCATCCTGAAGGCGTTCATCCGCCGCTCCGCGTGCTCCCTCCGCGCCGTCTCAATCTCGTGCTTCGGCCTCACCCACGATACTCTGACCGCATATCTGCGCGCCCTCCCCGCCTCCGTCGCGGATCTCTCCTTGTCGGTAATCGGGCCCGCGCCCCTCATCACAGCGCTGGCGCCGATGGATATTCTTCCTGAGCTCACCATCCTCCACCTGCGCGGCGCCCACCCGACAGCCGCAGATTACCAGCACATTATGGATATGCTGCACGCGCGGCTGCAGCCGTCGCCTCCCCGCCTCGCGCTCGAGGCGTTCACGCTGCACTTCAACTCGCTGCTGATTCCGCGCTTCATGCCTACGGAGTCTACGCTTGCTCAGTTGCGGGCGTTTGCGGCGGCTGGGTTGAAGGTCAAGTTTACGATGTCGGGGAAACATGTGGGCGTCCGCACAAATGTTGTGTTGGATTCCTGGAGCGAATGATATCGATGGTGCGCGCCGTCTCCTCCAACAGTCTTCGGTGTCTAATTCCAGGCACGGTTCACTAGCGTGTATCGACCCGCTGCTTCAATATTTTGAACATGATTAGCCGGTCGATTATCGCCCTCTATCCAGACTTCCAAATGTATCGGATTAAATAGAGAGTAAAACAAACAACCAGTACAAAAATCCAACCACGTTCAATGTGTGGAACTCTGGAAACGCGGGAGCTCACACAGGTGCTCCCCCACACTTGCGCATTGAGTCCTCGCTGTCAACGTGCTGCAAAGCAAAGATATTGTCAACTCTTGGGGAAACAAGCGAACGAATGAAGAAGGGAATATACCTGGTGCAAATCAATGTTCACATGGACTTTATCGGGTCGGGGGAACTCTGCGACGGATTGCAGGGTGAAGTTCCCCTGGGAGGGGCTTGTGCTGTTGAGGTTACCGAGGAATGTCGACTGGCCGACGGTTCGGATTGCGTTTCGCGCGTTCAGCCTAGTGGAAGGGCTCAGCACAAGGGGAAATGCAAAGGAGGGTGGGGTTGTTCACGAGGCAAGCATACTGTTGACATACACTGCTCGGCCGCAGTCAGAGGTAAATAGAATAAACCAAGTAACGGCTCAAGCAACATACACCTCGAGAGCTGAATATTGAATGCCGTAGGGTTTTGGGGGCGATGACTAGCGAGAGTATATTCGCCAGGCCAACTAGACTGTACCAACATGATGTCGAGTCAGCGCGAGCGCGAACCTGGCAAATTTCATCTCACCTGGTGAGCATTCCCGTCGCGATGGTCATGGCGATGATCCTGCCCACCATATCATCGGTTCTACGGCGGCAGCATCGTCAGCTTGTCCTACTTGGCTGGAAACGGGGGCCAACAGCGACCGACTTTGCAAATCCAGTGCGCCCGCGCCAAAGACAATAGCACAAGATCCCTGCAATGATACTATCCTCCAGCACACCGACGGCTAACCCCGCAGTGGCGGTAGGCTGTGTTGGTAAAAATTTAATTTTGCTTTGACAGGCAAGTTAAACCAACTCGCCTTGATGTACTCCAGTGCGCCGGTGACAGTTGGGCTGTGCAGACTTGTAATAGCGCCTCGGGTTGAGCGCGCTGCGAAAGCTCATTGCGGAACCTGTACTCACCCCAAGATGGGAGACGCGAGATTGGTTCCTGTGCGTTCATAGTCCTGTGTGGCCTGATAGGGTTGGCTTTCGCATTCACCTAGGTGTGCCAGCGCAAAGGGTACCTGTGGATGTCTTGTCATCGCGCGGAACGGAGGTCATTTTCCCCGACTACTCACACCAATCACGGTAAGCATCTTGTTCTGGCCGCTGACTGGGGGCAGTCAGATGTGAATTCATTGAAGTAAACACCGGGACGTACGGTGCCAGACCCGGTAAATCAGGAAACTACAAACACAGTCAAAAGCCATCCCACGCCTGGTTGGAATGGATACCTTTCGACTATGAATGCAACCAGAGCCTGCAGGCAACAGGATGCAATCAGCGCCAGAAGCTCTCAAACAGACAATGATTTACAGTGCAAAATATTCCCAGCTGGAACAAGATCGTTAGCTAGGTTGAACGAGAGCCGGTAAACGAGACATACTCCGAGTGTCCTACACCGACCGGTTAGAACGGCACTGTCGCAAATTGTCTAGACACCCACCAATGATTTATATTGAGTGCGGCTGGGTCACCGAAGGTCGAGATGACATATTGGTAGGTCACCCACGTTGTGGTGACTTGGTGAAGGGTATCCAGCACGCTGGTGGTCACGGCGGGCGGGTTAGTCTCTGCATTTCCTGGTTGTGAGGAAACAACACGAACAGCAGCACAAAAACCTGAATTTCGGTGTTAGCTCACCGAGAACTGGCTAAATGGACAGCCTACCACGAGTTTAGTGCCGCGGGCATCGTTGCCCCAGGTGCGATAGTACATGAACGTTTGGATTACAGTGATGCCATATAGGCTGCAGGAGCGAAGCCGAGGTGAAAAAAGTGCTAGAGCACACTGAGGGAAGCTTACATTGAAGAAATAGTGCTTCCAATGAAGACAATGCCCCATGGGTTCGATATCTTGTGGGGTAGCGCGGGAGAGGGCGAGTCCGACATT